CTTTCCAACCCTAACCATTCTATGGTTCTATGATTGGAGGATCACATGAAAAAACTGACAGCTTACCTGAACATCTTCAAATACCTGCTGTTACGAAAGGCCTTCTTCTCCGCCCACACTGGTATATATCAGAAGTCACCCTTAAAATAAGTGAAAATCAAGCCTAATTGAAATTTAGAAACATGTTCAAATTATGTAAAGGGAAAACAGCAGTGGAAGTCCACATGGACTTTCATGATGGTCCACATGGCATCAGACTTCTGCCCCATATACACACATGCTGCTGGTTCAGCAAAACCTGTACAACATACAGGCCTGGATGCTTCTCACACTTCACACAAAGGACAGACCATATCTACTGCTTTTGTGATCCTAGATTCTCCCTGCTCTCTGCCCTCACATTGCAGAAGGCCTTCAACAGCACCTTTGGATTATTTTCTGATTAACCACACTATTAATATATAATATATACAACACCTGGTGTATAGAACTTCTTAACTTGTTCACCTAACTGAATTAGAAAAAAGTGAGGATAGGAAGAGAGGCCAAGAGACAAAAAGACAGAGTTCCGACTCTCGGAACAGCTTTCCTGGGACCATGCAGGTACAGCACCGTCTCCTATTTGAAGATGTTACATTAACTGCAGTTTTCTATAACCCCAGGATCCCAGAAAAGTGCTCTCTTTGGAAGTCCTTAGGCTCTCAGCTCCCCGTGCCTCAGTTTCATATTGCTTACAGTAATGTGACTATATTAAGGAGCTAAGTCTCCTCAGCCCAAAACAGCTAGGAGAAACCTAAGAGCTCCATCACTTCGGCTTTCCAAAGCATTCCTCAACCATCAGTAGCATAATTATTATGGCTTTTTACCTAGACTATAGGCAGGGAGGCCTTTCTCCAGCTTTCCAAAAGAAAACAGAAGTTTCCCTCTGGGTGTCCTAGCTCTGGCTGGCTCTACCTGAAGTGAGTACCAGCTGCTCTGTTCACAGGGTCACATCATGGAGCAAAATACACAAACTCATGTGCAGTCCTTGTTCAACAGAAAAGAGAACCTGTACATTTGATCAACTTCAGGCCTGAAGTCTGTAGAACTCAGAGAAAGTGAGGATGTGGAGATGAGGACAGCCAGCATTAACAACATTTCACCTGTGATGAGAGGAGGGTTGAGACGAGATGAAATTACTTTTTCTCCCAGCAAGGAGCAGTCAAGCTCTGGAGATGTCGGAGAGGAAATATAACATTCTGTGAAGGACATACACGGCTTGCAAGCAGCTGGTTTTCAGATTATTTTATTTTCTGTGTCTAAAGAACACTGGAAAGTACTTTCCATGGTGAGGGGAAAAGTTCCTGAATGTCAGAAAAGTGCAATAAGAAAGTCCTGTAATTGAAAGGGCAGATTCTTAACACACAATGTGTGGGAAGTGAGCTATTTCATGTATACACATCCTGAATGTACTTGGCAGCGCTCTGCTGTTGGGCCCACAGTTCTAATTTCATCTCCAGACCATGCCAGTGATTTCTCAGGGGCAGCAGCATGTAGCATAGTCCCCTGTTGAAGATGCTGCTCCACCTTCACCATTTTAGCACCCAATACTAGGAGAAACAGCCACCTGGCCCTGGCTTAGTCCAGAAACAATGGAAGCAGCAGTCACATATATTTATTCTTTCTAGAAAAACAGAACCCAGTGACAGTGACAAGCAGCCATGACTAAAGACTGGAAGCCACACCAGCTGTCTGCATTGTATAGCTAAGCAAAAGACAGAACAACCCCAAGATTAAACATGAGAAAGAGAGATATAGTGCCTTGCACAGTCAAATGTAATGCACTGTCTCCAATATTAATTACTACTTTCATTAGAGCTGCACAAATCACCTGGTAGTGACATTTTTGTTTATTTTAATTCTGCGTCACTACTTTAATTATTGCCTTTCCATGATGCACTGTGGAGTGTATACTTGCCTGCAAACAGAGCAGCAAGTTCCCAAAACTCACCTGTTTTAATGCACAAACTGTACTTATTGCATCTGGGGAAAAACTGATTTATCAAACACCAGCATACACAGACAGATTTCTGAGCAGGTTGAACAGAACCTCCTGCTTGGTGTCACTTCGCTGGCTGCAGTGGAGGGAAGGAGCTGCCAAGTTCAAAACTACATCAAAACACTCACAGCTGCCATAGGAGCTGCCTCCTGTAGTGCTCAGGCAAGCCAGGGACTTCAGCCACCATCCCAGACAGGGAACATGCAGGAGATCACAGCCAAGCCAGCAAATTTGGGGGTCATCATCACATTGCTCCAAATTCAAGCCCATGTGGCTGTGACAGCAAGCATTAAAAAGCTTAGTCCAAGCTTTTATTTAACACAGCAAGTCTGAAAGATCTTAACGATATAAATAACCACTCTTAATACTCAGTGTTACCCAACGTCTGAACTAGGTTACAGTATTTTTCTGTTTAATTGGGGATAGCCCAATATATAAATAGACTTTGGTTATGTTTAGCTGGGTACAAGGATTAGAGACTGGCTTAATACAGAAGTAGATCCTGATTTCCACTTAGGAAATAGAAAGAGATTAACAGTAGAGAGAAGATACAGTGATGAACCAGCGACAAGAGGGTTTCACTAATTAGGGATGTTTATCGATGACAGTGCTCTAATGCCTCTGATGTTTACGTAATTTCCTACACTAAGACAAGAGCATCCTGTAAGTATGAGATAGGTAAATACCCCAAGGAAATAACACTAAAGACACTGAAGGCATATGCCAGGTATTAGAAGACGCATGTTGTAACGTTTGTCCTGCCTCTCATTTGCAAGGCGCTCCCTGCCCAGCAGCAGCGCTTGGGTTTCAGTGGTTGCACTGTGCAGTTTTATTCAGACATCTGGAGCAGATCTCTGTATTGTTAGGTCTTGGGCTTTAAATCACTAAAATAATGCCGGCGTAACACAGCGCTTGTGAGGAATGTTGGAAAAAGCTCTTAGATTATTAAAAGAAATCATAACTGTTGTGGAAAGTATTGCTAGAATAATAATTTGCTTCTAAGTATTTAAAAGAGAACTTCTGAAACAGTTACAGAGCTGGAGTTTGAAAGAATTGGAAACATCATTATTATTTGACATCCACAGTCAGAAACCAAGCACCATAATGACAAGCTCTATACAAACATCCATCAAAAATATAGCCCTTGTCCCAGACAACTGTCAGCCTCATTATTAAACTAGAGGCATGGAAACCAGAAGGAAATAAAGAGAGAGCACTGGTTAATAGGAAAGGTAATGGCCAGAGCAAATCAGCATCACAACAAACATCAAATATTTGAATAATAATCAAAGAAATCTTTTATGTGGATTTTAACAGAAAATGCAATAGCTCTGTGGCCTGTAGGGACCTTCTAAGCACAAGGGACAGCACAGGAAAAAGTATGGAAGAGTGGAGCCTGTAGATAAATTCTCCTTCATTGCTATGGAAAAGAGATATTCTTTGGAACATAGATGAGTACATTTCCTAACAGAATTCAAAATAGCTTTGGGCTTTTAGCATGCCTTTACATTGCCTACACTATTTATCATCCAGTTTCAGGCCGTGTTCGTGATCTATGGCATAACACCACATTTGGCCTTACACAGTCTGTTAGTCTCAAAATCAGAAACTACAGGAAATAATTTGCCTATATTCCTGTTTTCTTGTTGTTTTTCATTAAAAGCCAAATATTTAGAACACCTTAATCTAAATTTATAGAAGTTAGCAATAATTTCTTGATGCCTCGGTGCCTTAAAACTTTCTTCAATTCCTCTTTAATCTCGTACCATAGAAAAAGAGTGTCTGAAAACTAGATTCTTACCAAGCCTACTGAGCTGGGCCTGAAAACCTGCGCCTGGAAACATAAAATCCTTTATATTAAAAGACCAAAGACTTGCCTATGTAAGAACATAATGGAATATGAAAACAGCCACAATGGAAAAAGCGGAATAGATTTACAGTTTTAAAATAGCTTGCATGATGCATAAGTTCATGGGTCTATTTAAATTTCAGCAAAAAAGATGTTGGGTTTTTCATTAATGCAGAATGCATTCATTGTGGGTTTTAAGTGCCTCAATTTAGAAATTGAAGGCAATTTTTATTAATAGCACATGTAATCCCAACACAGGAGATTCCTGTGGCGGATTCATTTGCTCCTTAAACAGGCACCCTTGACATCAGTAGGAATAAAGGGCTGAGTAAGAGCTGCTTGGCAAAGGGGAGCTTGTGGTGACAGCGGGGTCCCTGCTGGCAGTGCCACCTCGCCGCTGTCCCACCAGAGGGTTGGGCACACTGGTCATGTCCTGAGGACAAGGCATGAACATGCATCCTCTCCGCTCTGGAAGGAGATCCCGGAGAGGCACACAGGAGCCAGGATGCATCCTAGGTCTAAACATCTGAGGGATAATGACCCCAGCATGCTGTGCTGCCCAAGAGTACAGACAGAGCCATCGGGAGGGGGGCGAACACAACACTGAGGAACACAAGGAAGGAAAGGTCACCGTGTTGGCTGTCACTGGCTGTAGCTGACAGGCTTTTTCTATCTCAGCCTTTTCATTCTAAGAACTCCCCTGGCATAGAGGGAGTGCTGGCAGAGTAGGACTGACACCATCACTATGGTCTCTCTGGTTACTATGTATGGATTCAATTTATCTCAGGCTTTTCATGGAAACAGTTTGTGTGAGCCAGGGAAGAAGAGAAAAAATACCTCTCCCACCTCCCTGAGAAGGCAAAGAGCCACCAGGAAAACCCTCTGTCCAGTAAAGGCGTAACCAAAGTAAATGCCCCAGAACCCACCAGGGAGATGCTGAGTATCCTAAATTCACAGATTCCAGATCCTCCCCCCCACCCCCCCTTCTTGGAGAAAGCTGCCTTCCACCATGTGGTGAAGGCTTAGGAACTGCAATGGGCAGTCAGGGATGGTCAGACCTGCACACAGCAGCCCAGCCCTGAAGAAAGGGATGCAATTTCATTAGAGAGTAACTATAAGTCCAAAAGGCAGCTGAGAACTCAGGTAAAATCTTTAGAAAGGCAAATAAGCAAGGGGGAGTTTTTAAGAAGAGCATCATGCAATAGCAGAGCAATGGAGAAAGAGAGCCCAGAGCTGCAATGACACGTCTGTCCCTCTGACTGTCCTCTGAAGGAATTTAAGGAATGCCCACAACTCGTCTGAATACCGTACTAAATGCTACTTTTTTTCCCTGCTAGTTATAATTCAGTGATTTCTGGCTCTGAGAGGAATTCCAAGCTGTCCCAAAGGTAAAAGGGCAAAAGCCCTCATTACCAGTAGAATCTCTGAAACAAGTTACAGAAAGAGTAAGACTAACAAACGATAATTTCCAGCTGCTGATGTTCCCAGTATGCAGAACAGAGCTGTCGTGAGCTACAACAGCTCTTGAGAGAGGGGAAGGAGATGCCAGGATTGCAAGAACCCCTTTACATTAACCATTTTATATAAAGTTTCCAGTGGAATCATTTTGACACATCTGCACTTGACAAAGACCGTAAAACCCTTGTATGAAATACATTTCTGCTTTTCAAACTTTCTTTTCTTTGCATATTCCCCTCATAGCTCAATTTTTACCAGTGAGATACTCCCAAGGCAGTTCTGGTGTTTCATAAACCAGTAAGCAGTGGAAGCACAGGAGATGCAACAGCACCCACAGCCAGTGAAGATGCTGCTTTACCACTTCCCTTCCAAGCTGACTCCCACACCATACATTTTAACTTGGAGGAAGTTGTGCAACACCATGAACATATATCTGGTGCTGTTATAACAGTAACGGGTGAGAGCTCACAGGAACTGCAACTTCTTGGTAGGGATCTGAATTCATGTGGAAATCTATCAACACTCGCTCCCAGGGCATCCGCTGCTCCTTAGCAGCACAGTCACCATCTGCATTTGCTTAGGTGGATTTTGTTTCTGAAGAAGTGGTTCTTAAATGTGTTTTGGAGGATTTGAGGAAATGGGAAGTCCTTGTGATGGAGGGTGGAGGCTTGGGGCAAAGTCACCCCTCAGCCAAGTCTGCAGCAACAGCTCAGAGACTGCCAAGCAGAGATGGCACAGGATGCCCCAGGGACTTGTTTGGCAAATGGGGGAAATGGCAAAAGAGAAAAGCAAAAAGCTAATGTACAAAGCACCTGCTCCAAAGTAAGCATTGCATAGCAGGGAGGGCAGTGCCTCCTAAGACAGTGCGAGAACTGGGCAGGGTCAGGGAGGACCCTGCAGCCTGTGCATGCAGCACGGATCCTACAAACATAATAAAAGCTTGATACATGCCAGATAAGGCCTGTGAGTGAATAGAAGACCCATAGTGTCATGAGCATGACGCTATACCAAATGTATGTACTGTTTTCCAAGACCTTTCCAAAAGTGACAAATGACCTCAGTGCAGATGTTTCTTTATGTATTATTCCCTTTTCATATGCCTACTTCTCCTCTTAAAGGCATTTTCTGTCACTTAGGTAAACAATGCAGAAGATTTCAGGTCTGTCAAAGGCCCAGGTGGTTGTCGTGTTAGCAGGGATAAGAGATAATACATATAGTCTTGCATCTTTTTATCACATAGGCAGTCCTCAGGGACCTCGCTGGTGAGATGGGTGTGCATAAGAATTACCACACAATAAAACTCTCTGAAAAAAAAAAAAAAGCCAAAAAAGAGGATGAGAGAAGGTCAGAGTAATTTATGTGGAATATCAATAAACTGTCAAAACAGAAACACTTCTCTGTTCTGCATTTTTCTTCTTATCAACAAACAATTCTACAGGCAGTGCAATGATACATCCCCTGCCGGCTTCTCAAGGGGTGCCTGTGCACGTAGGCTTTGCGTATATTTACACTTGCAGTGGCGAGTGGATAAAACATGATTTGCACAGAGCTACACTGCTGTACATGCTCGATGTACAGCTCAAATGCTTTTTACTGTTGTTCTTGGAAGACATCTTTTTCCTTCGGTGCTGAAAGCCGATGAACAGAAGAATCTGTTGGCATTATAAAACAAGAAGCGTAAGTGAGCTCACAGATCTAACAGCTACACAGGCTGGGACACATGCAAAAATATTTGTGTATGCATGTAGACAGGGTGAAGTTTTCCATTGTAGCTCTTTCTGTGTCAGAAAATAAAGAATCTCAACCAACTATACAGTCATTTAAACAACTGTGCACTTTATAGCTTTTCCACTTTGTGTGGTCCTGCTTTCTTTATGTCATATGTGCCATTTAGCATCTCCTGTTGCCAATGGTTTGGATCCCAGTTCTAGGAATTATCTGTTAGTTCACTGCTGCAGCAGATACCAAGCAACAATGTTGGCTGCAGCAGCACGTACGCTCAAGTTGTGTTTTATTATTTTTGGTTCCTAAGAGTATACATGAACCTAATCAAATTCATCTGTAAGCGAGTCAAGTGTGCTTGATTAATGCTAATGAGGAAAATCTGGGGGCAGATAGGCATGTAACTTCTGCTTCATTTAAAAGACATATTGAAAACTGAAAACCTATATTGGTGCAAAACCTATTTCTAAAATATTAACTATACTCTGTCTTTCTGCATGCCAGCTGTAAGTACTGACAGGCTAAGAGTAGAGTTTCTCATTGCTGCTGCAATGTGTTTATTCTTCTGGAGGCATATATGTGCCTAGCTTTGCAGCCACAACATAGTTTGTCCTTGGGGCCATGAAATATTTATAGGGATCCTTCCATGAATTTGAATTGCTCAAGCAGAACAGTCCCACAGGTCTCACATTCTGAAAAGCATTTAGATATCTTGTCCCCACCGATTTTGGCAGCAGGGACCTAATCAACTTGCAGAATCACAGCCAGGATCACTCACCCAAGAGGAACAAAGTAAAAACCAGTTTGTACCTGGCTGCATTAATAGCCACTGTTGAGAGTGACTAATAGAAGTCAGCAGCAGTACGGGTTCTGCAAGCCCAGGAGCTGTGCCACAGATGCTGGCATGCCACTTGGTTATCACTTCATCTAATTACAGAGGTGAGCCTGAGACAAAAAGCCCAGTAGGTGTAGGTAACTGCAGTTATGGAGTGTAGGCTTGCACAGTCACAACTCCTTTATGCAAACCTTTTGCCAAAGACAGGTTCCAGCACCAGTGGGGCAATGCGTTATTCCTGCAGCTGCATAGCCTTCCTTTTCTGGAAGTGCACGGGTAACTCCACAGCCTGATTTACCACAGCTCCACTGCCTGTATGGCAAGTCCTTTGGCTGCTGTCTCGCAGTATTTCAGTAATCCTGTTCATCATAAATTGCAGATAGTTGTCGCTGCAGGCTGCAAAACAGCTTACATGAGCAACGCTCTGATACTCCAGTGCTGCAGAGCAGTGATAGCAGCAACTGGGGCAATGATGCTGCAGTGTTTGAGATCAAACTCCCAGAAGGAAACATCCTATCACCCAAAGGAGACAAAACTGACCAGCCTTCTGCCTCTCAGCTTTGGGCAGATGGTCTTCTACATTGAGGCTAGCAAGGAAGAGTGCAGCTTATAGGAGAGGGAAGTTACTATAATCACGCCTAGCACTTATAACCTACACATTAGGCGACTACAGAAAAGGCAATGACTGAATCAATCTTCATTTCTAGCCCACAAGGGAGTGAAAATGTGTTCATGAGCTCTTGAATTGCAATGCAAGGGCGAATTTGGGTGACTAGCAAAACAAGCTACCAAACCCCTCCTAGCCCAGTGATACACCTGAGAGGACATAGGAAAAGAGGATTTTTTTCTGAGAACAGTATTCTCAGGTACTTAAAATTCTGCCCTGTGCATGCCCTTGGGTGCCACTGCTATGGCCAAGATCATCATAAATCTTCTGCTGAGATTCACAAACTACTTACTTTGTGACAGCCCGGCTGGTCCCTTAGGGATTCCCAGAACATCTCTAGAGTATCCAGCAAAATCTATTTTCCAAAAGACAATCAAAAAAAACACCTCAAACAGTAGTGATTTCCATCCTGAAATAGCTAGAGGATGAAATCCAACAAGTTTTTCATAGCAGCCTTGTAGATAGAGCACTCATGCAGGAACTGGGGACACAGTATTTGCTCCTCTCTTTCCCTGGAAGGGGCTCAGGACCATAGTGAGCTGCTGCTGCTGCTGGAATATACCCCAGGGAACTAACACAGAGCACAGTGGTGAAGCTCAAGCCCACCACTCCAAACTGATTCTTTTAACCACCAGATTACATTCTTGCTTTTATATATTAGACTGTTTCCATGAATATTATCAGCCCAGTGTGTCAGTTGCTTCCTGCCACCTGCAATTCTTCAACAAACCATGGGTTCAGGGATGCTCCTGAGAAGAAGATGCAGAGTGGAATTCCTTCAGGATAAAGAGTTCCTCTATGGATGAAAGGTGTAAGGATCTCACTATTACAAAAGGTTGACTTATCTTCTGTGCAGGCCCCTCTTTTCATGGCTGAAAGAGAGACAAAACAGAAATACCTCTTGGGTGAGCACATAGGGCTTTGGTGTGAATTTGCAGCTTGTTCTCTAAGGTTAGTCCACCATTTTCCCCCTCCACTGCACCAGTATAGCTCACATACTTGTTTGTGGATCCCACCTTCTCCCTTCCTGACACCCCCTCCAGATCCTGGATATTCTGCTGTGATTGCACTCACTGAACTGCCCAGGCACCAGAAGATGCTGGTGGGAGAATCAGAATCCCAGCCTCACACAGGACTTAACACGGATCAATCTTGAGGACTGGTAGAACCATGGGATACAGAATTAGGGCCCCTATTCCCAGTTCAGTGTGTATTGAACACGTGACCCCTGGGGGCAGTTGTCTTGTTTGTGATGGAATGTCACCAGCTAAGGACTTTGGGGAATTTGAACGTCGTGCCAGCCTTCTGCCTATACTCTTTTCAAAGAGCCAAGGAAACACCTGACTTCAGCTGATGGGAAACAAAATACTTCTGTTTGCATAGTACCTCCCAAGGAACAGATGCTTGGAGCCAACTAGCAACAAGCTTGCTTGTCCAATGAGTTTAGTGTCTAAAAACATTTAAAAGCTGTGTGGATTCAATCCTCTGTGTTTGAGTGTAGTCAAGACTGCCTTGCGTCTACCACAGTCTGGGGCTTCAGGCGTACATCATGGTCTAGTTGAAGAGACTGCTGCAAGCTCCATTAGGTTTTACAATACTCTTCATGGATTTGCTGTTTTGCCTGCTGACTTACTTTTATCCATCTACTTCCCCAGCTATTAACTTAAGCCATACTGATGGAAATACATCAGAAAATGATCATACAGGCAGCTCATCTGACTGCAGTAAAGGAATTAGAGCCTGTGGTAGCATTCTTTGCTCTTGCAAGGGGCAAGCCAAATCTCCCACTTGAGTGTTAAGAAAGTTCAGCATGTTGCTTCAAAACCATACCAAAAATCTCACAGCCTCTTTCCCCATTTAGTGGAAGAGGAAAATATTTTGTACTAGCAGAGTCCCGGCTGTTTCTGTGTCACTGCTGCATGTAACAACATGGACAGAGGAACTGCTTAGAGCAGACAGAGCCTCTTGTGGGCCTCACAGTTTAGACTGATTTTTTTTCTGTGCAGTATTTTGTAATGACTAACATTTGCCACAACTGTCTTAGTGTGTGTTTCTATATGTAAAGGTCTCAGCCCAACAAGAGTCCATCACAACTTTCAGCTTTGGAAACCTCTCTTTTACATCAGCAATGATAGCAAACAGAAGGCACAACCATCCTCATTAATTAATCCACACACAGCACCTCCTAGCAACCAAAGGCTGTTTTGCTAACACTTCTAGCCAGGACTTGTAAGCGTATAACTTAACCACATGGGAATGCGCTATCTCATTCTCATGAGCTCAGAAGTCTTTAAAGGAAACATCACCTACCTCAAGGCTTTCTCTGAGATGCCATCAGTGGCTGAATTGACAGCATGACCAGCACACAGGATAGTCACAGCAGGCAGGAAGAGAAGGCCCGATGCCAAACTATGGAGTTACAATTAGCAACTCTTCAGCTCTCCCAAAAGGCTGATGAAGCCACCTGGTCAGACCTTGGCTCCGAATGTGTCTGCTACAGCAAATCACAAGGAGTTGCAGAGCACAGAATTGATGCTTTTCTGGAAGGCACCTAAAACACTGAACTTGTGTCACTGAGCTTGTGAAGTGTCAAGTGCTGGTAAACAACCCGAGATATGCCCATGTGGGATGCAGGGACATTCATAACTTTCTCAAGTTTTTGACACTCTGACATACACTGTGCAAGAGCAATCTCCATATTATAACACTAGAAGCTCCAGCACTGAAGCTTCTCAGATCCACTGGTGGGTGCAATGTGGCATCCCACCCTTAAAACCACTTTCAGCAATATTCCATTAAATCCCTCCGCCTGCACTGGCATTGACAGGTTTTTAAAGTGTTACTTCAGTATGTCTGTCACCTTGTGTTCTTAAGATGCATCTTTTGCTACAAAATCTGAGCTAAGCAAAGCTAGCAGAGCCATCTCCACCATCCTGAAGCATGATAAAAGGAGCTGGCTTCAGCTTGAAATAATTCACTTGCAATCTGCACAAGGGGACTCTGCAATCAACGCAGCTGATTTACCTCCAGTAACTGCTTTACATTAATATGTGTAAGCACCTGCTGTGCTCCACCAGCCTCGGGAGGTCAGCAAATGTGCCTCTGCTGAAATTAATTAACATGAGGAGCAGAAATTTGTACCATAACTAATTAATCTTCAACATGCTACATTACTGGGAAACCCGAGGAGTGTTTATAACGAGTGGATTGCCAGGAAACAAGGATATACACAAAGACAGATCATTTGGGATAAAGGCCCCTGCCTGACATCACATACTGGAGCGTGAAGGTGGACTTGATGGGCTGGGACAACCGCAACAGCTGCAGATTAATTCTGTTAGCCCAGAGAGCACAGAGAGGTGTCTCAGGAGTCCGTGCCAAAGTTACCAGTGATTATCAACGTATGTTTCTGTTCTAATGCTTGCAAATAACTTTTTTACCTCTGGAAATTTGGGGCGTTTAGTTCTGCATTTCAACATAAAAGTGCATTTTGTTGCCACTGAAACCCCCTGGTACTAAGAAGGATGTCAAAGTGATCTCAGAAGTGCTGGTACTCCTCCCTCCAGGCAGCACTGCATTACCCACTCAAGACATTGGGGATGACTCCACATCAGACTTTCCCCCTCTAAGCAGCATGTCACATCAGTAACCACACCACCACCTTCTCTGCAGGCCTCCTCTCACACACGTTCCTATGCCACAAATGTGTGGCTCCCCTCCTAAAGGACAAAGAGACCCTTTACTGGTGACCTGACGAACCATCACTGAAGTGGTTCTTGCCCAAGCCTGACCCCTCACAGCAGTGTCAGGTGGAAATGTTGAGGTGTTGGTGGGAAGACGCTGGGGCTCTCACGGGCATTCAGTGTGGTGTCAGAAAGCAGCAGCAAATAAGCCACTGCACTGGGCTAGTCCCTGGCTGGCAGCATCCCCATCCACTGCCATGGTCACTGTGCACTGAGGCAGCCCCCAGTGCTGGGATGGAAGACAGCAGATAGCTGCCTTCTCTCCAAGGCAGTGCAAAGATCAGAGCTTATCAGCACAACTCACCAGGACGACCGCTGTTCACCGCAAAGCACGTACCGACTGTCTAAATCAGACAGCGTAAGAACAAAGGGCCGTGTGTTTCCTGGTTTGTAAATCATGCGGTGAGCTAGAAGAGGGGGAGAAATGACTTTGAATATTGTCTAGTTGAAAGCAAGCCATTACCCTTCCACTCCACCATGCCCAGGGGTTTAGGGTGATTCCCCATCGCCTGGCCCAACTGCAGTCCCTTGCTGACTACGGCCAGATGAAAAACTGGAGAGTGTCGGGGGAGCTCAGCACTGAAAGTGCATCATTCCCAGCAGCCCAGTTACAGTCTAAGAGGAACACCTGCTCACTGTAATTATCCTCCTTCTCAGCTCCTGTTCTTTTTGCTTCCTGACCTATTTTCCCGTACGTACCCAGTGACCAAACTGCAGTAATGCAGAGTGCATCTTCTAAGAGGTGCAGATCACCATTTGGAGAGAAAGGGTTCCCATTGCAGATGTCTTGCAGGGCTTGGTGGAAGCCTGTAGTGGCTCCAGACACAGCTCCTGCAGGGCATTTCAGGTGGAGCTGACATGTCCCAGTACAGAATATGGCAGCACCCTATGTCTGGGAAAGGCAGGAGCTGCCTCTGCAGGGCATTCCCGATGGATTCCAGCCATTTGAGCAGCCAAACCTCCTGCTGAGTTCAAAACGCAGCCAGGACTGTGGCCCAGCAGCCACCACCTTTCGCAGGGGTGAGAAGTGTCAAAGCCAGGGAGCGCCCACAGCCAAGCCAGGTGTCACAGGGCTGCAGGTCTCAGTAGATGCCTGCACTGTGGGTTGGAGCATCCTCTTTATCCCATCCCTACTCCTCACATCTCCCACAGGAGAAAACCTGCCAAGAGGCATCCAGGGAGCAACTGGGTCCCACCTGCACACTGCTTGAGGGAGTCTCCAGGCCAGCTTCACTGCTCAGGTTCAGAAGGACTTTGTGTCATTCCAGCTGGCAGAACAACCACCCTCAGCCAGCCCAAAACAGGACCTGCTGCTGACAACTGCTGGTAGCAGCCAGGGGCTGGACATTGGGTAATTGATTTTAACTTGTCATTAAACCTGTCTGTGCATCAGCCCCATGGGCAGAGCCTGTTTAAAAGCTGCACTTGTTGAAACACAAGCACTCATCAGTTCCATCTCCAGGCTGCTCAGTAGGTTCTCATGGGTCTGGGCAAGGCAGAGCAGCAAGAGCTTTGGCTGGTGATGAACAGCCTCTACAGGGATTTCTGGTTGCCAGAAGTTATTTGCCCAACATTCTGCGGAATGAAATGGAAGCAGCACCCACTCTACTGGACAATGATGCAAACATGTTTCCCCACATTTTACCAGACATTCCCCCATGGCCATTCTCAAATGGCACTTCTTTGGTTCTTAGAAATGCACTTCAGATGTCACCACAATGGAATCAACCCAGCCAGGTTTAGTTTGTGCGCTGCAACAGATACATCTTAGTGGGATGTATGCTATTCACATAGTGAGCACCTGGGGGTAAAGTAGAAGCTGTCATATCTGCAGAGAGAAAATGAGCAAGACACGGTAGTTTCAGATACCCTCCTTAGCAGGTCAGTCCTCTGCTCAGTAAGCAGCTGAGCACCCTAAGGTACAATGCTCATAGGCATCAGGGAAAAGCAACTGGAAAATGCCAGGCTTAACTGGCTCTGACCACATCCGTGATTTGGATAAAAAAACACCAAAGGGCCAAACTTGAAGCACTGTTCATTTCCTACTCAGTTCTTACCCAAGGATTTCAAGAGAAGTGTAGCCTGGAAGAATTTGTGTGTGTGGTCTCAGGATTTTATCGCCTAATTGTAATGCAGTAAGAATTAATTCAATCCCACAGGATTCTGGCCCTCCCAAAAGAAAAACCAAGGTCCTGGACCCTGATGGAATGATGCAGTGACCAAATTTGGTAATGGATAGAGTTGGGACCTTCCATGTTCTTAACCACCACTGAGGGCAGGTCTGAAGGTTATAAGGGGTTCTGATGAAGCAACCTCTTTAAACTATTACAGTCATTGTAAGTTAGAGAAGCTTTCTGCCTTAAATTACTTACAAGATTCTACTGTCTTCTACTGGCCCTGAAAATGAAAAGAATAGAGCAGTTTTATGCAGTCATTTCTGCTTTTTCCTCTTGGCTCATAGGCAAGTCTTGGAGAAGGATGCCAGCATCAAACACATTTGCAGAGACAAAGGTGCTCTGAAACTCAGCCTTACAGCACCAAGCCTTTCAGGGCCCCCTGCTATGTTCAGGAGCCACAGCCCTGAATTAGGTGTGCAGCAGGGACACTGTAGCACCTGGAGAGAGCTGGGCACCTCAGCTGGGGTTCACCAATGTCTACATGAGGAGAAACACACAAGGGCATTCCCAGGCTTCTAATCTTGGTGGCAAGTCTTTGGCAACAAAACACCCACCTGAGATTACCCTCAGGGTGTCTACTGGTTCCGGTGGGCATTTAATGCATACAGATATTCTGCAGCTCAGCCTGCAGCTGCAGAGTGGTTTTACGACTCTGGGCTTTTAGCAGCTTATAGCAGCACAGGACAGCACTTGGGTGCCCAGATCCCTTTGCTGCCCTAACCCATAGTGCCTGTGCCCACTTCCCTGGGCTGCCAGACACCCACAGTCGGGTGCTGGCTGCAGCTTTGATTTACAAATTGTAAAAAATTTGTAAAAAGTCCCTCTCCAGCCTTCTTGTAGACCCTCTTTAGGTACTGAAAGCTGCTTTAAGGTCCATCCTGAGTCTTCTCTCCAAGCTGAACAAGCTCAGCTCTCTCAGCCTGTCTTCCCAGGAGAGGTGCTCCGGTTCCTCTGTACTCGCAGAAACAGCTCCACATCCCTCTTTTATTGGGGGCCCCAGAGCTGAAAGCAGTGGCATCTCACAGGAGAGGAATAGAGGGCGAGGATCACCTCCCTCGCCTTGCTGCTCACACTCCTTTTGCTGCAGCCCAGGCTCCTTTATCGCAACGTCGCCTTCCTGCTCACAGGCTCCCCCGATGCGTGACGGGGATCCTGCGTCCCCTTTACCTCCGAGGGCTGCCCTGGGTCACTCACCACCCAGCGACCAGCGCTCCCCGCGGCCCGGCTCGGGCACTGCTGCCCCGCTCAGTCCGACCCAAGATCCCGCGAGCGGCTGCTGCCACCCGCAGGTCACTCGTGCAGGAAACCTCCGGAATCCGGGCTGAAACAAACCACTAAAGCAAATGCAGCCAAGCTGCCGGGAGACAGAATTCCTGCGCCTGGTGGCACGCTAGCATTGCTTGCCCTAGGTGTGTCAAGGTCTTTGATCTATGATGCTTTATGCCAGAGCAGGGGACGTGTCAAGGATGCAGGAGGACCGTGAGGATGACGACTAGGTTGCGAGTCCTGTCATACGGCTGGCTCTAGGGTCCAGGAATGAGGCTGCAGCGCAGTGCTGCACCCAGAGAGTAGCACACGGTGCCTCTCTGCCACCCAAAATCCACTTCGGCAACCAGCCAGGCAGCAGCACCCTGCCTGCAGGAGCACAGCTCAAAACAAGCTGCACCTGCCTCGAAGCGCATTACCTGCACGGACTGGAACTGCAAGAGGGGAACAGGAAACCAGAGCAAAAGAAGGAGGTGGGCTGAAGTCACCCTAATTCCCCACTCCCAAACCCCCAGGAAATCCCCGGCCGGATTTAGACACTCACATCCTCACACTCCTCTTTCCCAGCAATAACAGCACATTTGCAGCTAGACCCACAGCTGTGGCCAATGCTGGGAAAGTGTTGCTTCAAGCAGACTTAATTGTTATTTAACAAGTGTTCTGCTTCTATTTACACCACCACACAGCACCTACAGCAGCTTGTACCAGCTGAGGGGCATAGGTCTTACACAGATGAGACAGCAACGAAGAAAAGGCTTCCAGTGCTGTGAGGCAGGATGTTGCTCTGAAGGCAGTGTCCTTGCTCCCCTCCAGGGCTGCTGCAGGAGAAGGGATGAGCTCCGTGGAGCAAACTTGGCTTCTTCCAGCCCTTTGTAGTCAGGGAGTTGGCTTTTACTGCCCAGCTACTCAAACAAAACCAGATTTGAAGGTGGGCAAAGTCTTCATTTTTATTGTTTTCCTGTTATACCTGTGATCTTTTCACCCCTGTGATACTTGCGTAATTCTCCTAGTGAAAGGAAAAGAAAGTAATTGTCTGGATACCACTTTTATTGGCACATACAAGTGCCGAACTAAATTAGCCATGTTCTGGGGAAATCATCTGTCCTTTCAATAATGTACACTTAAAACTACTGCTGGTGATAAGGACCTTTCTTGGAAGATTTTTCTGAAGGTGGCTTGCATGCGGAAGTGGAGAGCAAGCAGAAGTAATTTTCTTAATAAGTTTTGTTCAAAAGAGTGTCAAGATCAGCAATATTTTCATCTCCAGCATGTTCTTCCCTCCTAGTATTTTATCTGTTGGATTCTGAGACCATCATAGCTGCTAGGGAAGAAAAGCTCTAGCAAAGTAATCTCTGGGTTGTCTTTAGCTTTCAAATCAAAGTTGAGATTTCAGAACTTGCAACACTCCAGCAGTTTCTTGAAGAGCGTTTCAGGCCATTAAATCTTGCAACACCTTTGGGCGGGGAGATACAGATTACTATTGCTTTTGAGTTATGTTTTTCTTCATGTACAGCTATGCAAAACAACATACAGACTCAATGACTAGGCTGAGTCAAGTAATTGCTAATAGCAGCTTGAGGAAAGCTGGTGCTACGATTTCAAGTGGTTCTCAGGTTTAGGCAACCTTCTACTGTTCATCTACATGGTACAGGCTCCTTGGTTAACACTGGCTTCTGGGAGCTGCCAGCACACAGTCAGTAAAAGACCTCTCACAACTCTTTCCAGGCTGCTGATTTCATACTGGTGGTAACAAGTTTCCCTCCATAAAGGTGGATTCCTAGATTCTTTCATCATATCAGATTTTAAAATCTCATTATTCCTCAGCAAATTCTGTTGTTCTACATCCATCACAGACTGTAGATCCCAAGGAGCTTTTGAACATAGCCAGTGACTGTTAGTCACAGTACTTACAGACCTGTACTTTCTCCATACTCCTAACACAGTCCAGATCAGTTTCATTGGAAGAAGCCTTTGGAGGTCATCTAGTCCAACCATCTACTCAGAGCCAACTTCAACATTAGATCAGGTTACTCAGGCTTTTGTTCAGTCCAGTTTTGAAAACTGCGAAGGACGGAGCTTCCACAGGCACCTGTGGGAGGGGGAGAGGGGCTTTTTCAGTAGTGTTTTTGCTGTGGTGTTTTTTCCCCTTCTTTTCTTTATATCCAGTCAAAATTGTTCCTGTGCATTTCATAACTATCACCTCTTATCCTTTAGCTGTGCACCTCTGCGAAGAGTTCAGATCCATCTTCTCTCTAAACCCCAGGTCAGATTTCTAATCTTCCCCTTACACATCCAAGTGCAGTACACAATTTGGTTGATTTATCTTCACACTACCGCTATCAGATGAAGAGTTATTAACTGCACTTAATAGCTGCATGGATACTAAAGACGAGAACTAAAAGTCAGACACATCTGTTAATTTAGAATGCATCATTAAGATAAATGGTACCAGATTTTCATATATGTAAGAAAGCACAAATTCTGTTCACATCAGCTGCAACTCAGCTTACTCCCAAATCACTGTCCATCCTCTTAGCTGAATGAAGCAAGGAAAGAGAATATACGTTGACACAAGACTTCACTCTGATGGATATGTACAAGGCCATTAAATGTCCA